GTTAACTTTTTAACTTTTTGACTTTTTGACTTTTTTAAAAGTACCCAAACTTGACCTTTATATCAAAAACCTTAAAAACAATTTCCCTTAGCAAAATAGGGTCTTCTCTAAATACTTTCTTCATTCAGTTAGTATTTAAAACTTAATTTAAAAATTACAAAATATAATAATTATTAGTGGTTGAGTTATGAGTTTTGGATAAGGACTGTATAATGACTAATGATGGAAGAAAAAAAATGATATTAATGACTAACAACATCACATATTCTTTAACAGATATATGGAATAGTCTGCATATTCATTTTATGAATTAAAAAATAAATAAATAAAAAATTGATTGGTTTAAAATAATAAGACTTTTTAATTTGAGTGGGATTATCATATTTTTTAATATAGAATTCATATTTTAAATCAATAATTTTTTTATGCATTACTTACCCTACTAAAAAAATTTGTTTTTGCTTTGGACGGATAATTTCTCATACTATTGCTCCATTTGTTTTCATGCGTAGGGAATATAACTTCAAAAAATGTATTTTAAAAAAATGGTTTTTGAATAATGTTTTCACTTACCTAACTTTGTAAATGTTACGATTTGAAAATACTCAATATATATTAATTTTGCTAATCTTGTCGAGTATGTGAATAAAAACGGATTCTTTAACTAATATTCATCTCATGATAATGAGCTGAATTTAGATAATGATAACTTAGCCCTCATAAATTAGAAGAATTGCATGATGACAAAAATATGTCTCCAAAGTGTGTAGAACTCACTCAGGGCTGATTTGGAAATGGATCTTTTTAATAGTGTTTTTTTATTTTTAATAAAAAAAAGTGTAAAAATGTAAAGAGCATAGTTAATTTTTTTTATATTGGTTTTTTTGACTTTTTAGTTATAATTTGATATTCTCAAAACAGGCTTTAATTAGCTGTTGTAAAATAATTTTGAAACTAGAGTTTTTTTATTTGTTTTTATTTTTTGGTGTAAATTTTGAACTAACGTGCGATTTAGAAAAATCCAAGTGGGTGTAAGTTGAGACGATCCTAATAAGAGTATATTGGCCCTGTTTGATAGAGTTGTGGAAAAGTGATTATAACTTATAGCCTACAGTTTATAACTTATAACTATGAACATAAGTTGATTTTTGACTTATAAATTAAGCTTCTCCTCCCCCACTCAAAGAATAAGTTGATTTTTGACTTACAAAAAGTTATGAGCTGTATTATTAAGCTGAATCAAACACATCAAAATAACTTAAATTAAGCTAAAAGCTGAAATAAGTTGGAAATAAGGCCTACCAAACAGGGCCATTATCTTTTCAGATAGAATTTATTTAAGTAATTATTTATTATAATTAAAGTTTAACCATTTATTTGGTTAATATTTTGAGTGAAACTCGAACTGATTTAAATCTAGGAATTTGAGTTAATTATTTCTAAAGTCATACCTGTTCTATTGTATCTTTTACCTAGAAAGTTGCACTGTTCACGATTCGTTGCCACCACTGGCCAGTCATACCTGTTCTATTGTATCTTTTACCTAGAAAGTTGCACTGTTCACGGTTCGTTGCCACCACTGGCCACCGTTGATCGGCAGCTAATCTCAACCACTATCTCCAATAGCCGACTAACATTTTTACTAATCACCCGTAATAACTATCTTTGATCACCACTTCTTATAAAAAACTACTTGCAACAACCAACAATCACTTCTGACCATCATTATTGACTGTTGACAACCACCTCCAACCACAATGTCGCTACTCAGCTCCTCCACACGTTTTTAAAATAAATTATTTTAAAACACTATTAGATAAGTTTTCTTATTTTTATTTTCTTCAAAGATAAACAAAATTTTATTTAATATTTTTTATAAACAAAATACAATAAATTGAAAACTAACATAAACCTAAAAAATTTTCTTCTATTTAGGCTTTGTTTAGCAACATGCTAATTTAGTAATTTTTTTGATTATTTGGTTAAAATATGAGCTAAAAAAAATTAGTATATTTAGGATAATTTTTTAACTTTTTACGAAAAGATGTGCAAAAAATAAAGAAAAAATAGAATTTTTAACTTTTTAATATGAGTTATTGACTTTTTAATTTTTTTAATAATTTTTTAACTTTTTTATTAAAAAAGTCACTTGTCAAACGAGACCTCAATACTAGTTGAAAAATAGGTGCGGACCAGTACAGTGGAGCGAGTTAACCAAGACGCGTGTTGTGTGGGGATTTGGTACTGCGTGGTCAGGACGGTACGCCGTTTCTTGCAATTGCTGCCCAATTCTCACTTTTTTGGCCTTTGGTTTGGTTCATTATTATGTTAACAAAGTGCCTTTTGTTGGGTTATAATTCTCAGTAATTATTTTTAAATAGATTTTTATTTGTTTTTATTAAATTTTTTTATTTTAGTTAATTTTTTTTATTTTTTAAATATATTTAAGTAGTAAAAAAGTTTAACTAATATATAACAAAAATTAAAAGTAAATGCAGTGCCAGTCCAGTTCAATCGTTTTCATTTTTCTGATTTTGGACAATGGGCATGCATTCCCACAGGAATACCAGCACCCTCCTCGGTTTTGCTGAATCATCCTTTAAAATAAAATTACATTTTTACACCAAATTTTATTTTAATTTTAACTTTTTATTTTTTAATTATAACAGTTAATTCATTATCGTCAGAATCAAATATTAATACTGTGGTCCATTCATTAATGTAGTGTTAAATTATTTTTTTTAAATTAGGAAAAAAGATATTTTGTAGGGGTATCATGATATTCGCCTAATCGTAAGGTAATCAGTTGTCGGTCAGATTTAACTCAATTTATAGAAAGGGACCTACCATTGAGACACCCAATAAATCTCATCCACACGCCATAGAAAAGGCTAAATATCAATCGGAGTACAAAGTAAAGTCTCCTCAATGGGAGCACGTATCCTGACTCACCCTTGTGAAATAGAATGCATTATCCACGAGGCTGCCACCTCCAGTAATAGTAGTGTTAAAATTCACTAATGAAAATTGTCACGTAACATTCACATTATGCACTTTTTTTAAGACAAAATTGTCACTATATTTTCTCTTCCTATTGTATTTTGCGAGGAGAATTATACTATAAGCGCATCTCATACCATATACACTTTTAAGTTATATAATTTTTTTCTTTATTATAACTAAGGGCGAATCACACTAACAGTCCCTATAGTTTGGAGTTCGTGTTAGTTTGGTCTCTGACTTTTCAATTGTGAAACATTTGACCTTGAATTTTGAATCTTGTTTCAAATAAGGACAATTGAAAATACCATTGCTTAATTTCAAGGTCAAAATCGTCAATTTAATAAAATATAAACTAATTTGACAAAAATAAATGTCAAAAAAATATTTTTAAATTTTTAAAAATTATTGCTACCCATCAAAGATAAAATCATGTAAAATTGATAAATTTTTCACACATTTATTTATTTATTTATTTTACAAAATTAATTTTTATTTTATGTTTGGATGATGACCATGTAATGGGTTGTTATTAGGATTATAATGTGTAATCGATATATTTAATATATGAAACGTTTTTAGTTTTGGATTTTTAATTTAATGGATTGGTTTAATAATGATATTAAAGTTGTCGTCATATTTGACTTTTGAAAAAATAAAAACTAATTTAATTAAAATAAAAACTACCTATTACATGATCATCATCCAAACACATAGTAAAAATTAATTTGATATAAATAAATATATAAATGTCTAAAAGATTTATCAATTTTACATAATTTTATCTTTAGTGGATAGAAATAATTTTTAAATATTCAAAAATATTTTTTTGACATTTATTTTTATCAAATTAGTTTATATTTTATCAAATTGACGATTTTGTCCTTGAAATTAAGCAATAGTATATTCAATTGTCTTTATTTGAAATAAGATTCAAAATTCTGGATCAAATGTGTCACAATTGAAAAGTCAATGACCAAAGTGACACAAGCCCCAAACTATAGGGACTGTTAGTGTTATTTGCCCTATAACTAATTTCTTCTTTAGTTATGACCTTAGTTTAGTTATAACTTATGAGAGTTTTAGTTATACCTCATGTATTGTTTGGTTATGACTTTTTTTTTTTTTTTTAGTTATAACTCAGAAAACATAAAATTATATCATTTTCTTTTTTAGTTATAAAGTGATATGGTACACACCCCTTAAAATGTGTGTACCATAATCTTTCCCATTTTATAAGCATATTCCCGTTACGTTATTTTGTGATACACGTTACATATTCTTTTTAGTAGAATTATGATAATTTATTGTTCAGAAGAAGAAAAAAAAAAAAAAAAAGAAAAAAAAAAAAAAAAAAAAAAGTTACGTATTAGAAAATATTTGGACAAAAAATATATAATATTACCATAAAAATATATAAAATTACCACAATATGAGTAATTTGATTTCTAAATTATAAATTATCATAACTCTATAAAAAAAATTACATAATTTTTAACATAAAAATATATAATATACACCATAAAAAGTACATAACATGCTGATCATGATGTATAATAATTCTCTTTGCATTTACTGAATCAATTGTTTGTGGAATCTACCGGCAACGAACTATAGTGTTGCTCACTAAAATAAATGATTGTTTCCATTGAATTTGGTAGCTAATATGGAGTAGATTCACCAACTTACCATTATTATTGAGGCTGATGCTAACTTGACTGAGGATCCCAAAGGGACCTAATATATAAAAATTTCTATAAATAAAAATTTTACACACACACACACCCAAAAAAAAAAAAAAAACTCGTCTAAAAAACCTCATCAAAAATATTGTGGTAATGTCATTTGAAATAATAATAATAATCACAGACCTTAAAATTAACGACTAGACATATCTCTAATAACCTTTTAAAGTGACTCAAATTCGATATCTTAAATTTTATTTATTTTTTTATAATTTACAATGATAACTAATTTGTCTTGAAATGAATGGACATCATTATTGTATGAACTCTTTGTGCAAAATATTTGTTTGTATACATTGGAATAAAAATTTCCATTCCAACCATGTACTGGAATAGAGGTTTCCCACTAAGGTGTCTCAACTCATTTAGAATGTGCCACATCTTGTTTTTTTTACCAAACAACTCTGAAGCCTACAACCAAAAACCTCAACTGACAATTTTTTTTTTTTATAAATAAATTGGTAGTTTGTTTCAGTATCATAGAAACTTAAAAAAAGGCTTATTACTGGAACCAAACTATTAGTGATTACCATTACAAAAAAACAAGCCTTTACCAGCTAAGTCTTTGATACTTCACTAGTCCCATAACCTCTGTCTTACTCTCTCTGTACATTCTTTGAAGGACTTTAATCAACTTCATCATCACTCAAAAAAGTGACAACTTTTTTTTTTGTAACCCTAAATCCTACCCTCTAAAACAGTAACAGTTTGCATGGCTTCTCAACCCACCACAAACACTTCCCATGGCACACATCATCCTAGGTTTTAAATAGCGGTATCAATGATAAGCTCATATGTCGATCGATATTGAACAATATCAGATGTATACCAATAAATAACAATATCGAAAGTCCAAAATCCTGCTACATATAACCATACATCCCATTAGTTACTTCTCACCATTGTAGGGCGATTCACTAAAGGTTGGAGGAACTACCACCGAAGAAGAAACCTTAAACCTCTTACTCCTCGACACTTCACCGCCATCAATCTCCGGACTATCCATCCAATACCCCATCATTTGATCACCAAATCCTTGTTGATCACCTAAAAAAACCTCCCCAACATCTGACCCATCTGAGTCCAACCCGTGTTGCCGGAATCTGACCCACTCATTGCTGCCATCTGACACACTCGAGCTCTCCCACGAGGGCGGCTCCACCTCATCCGCAGCCACATGAGGCACAATGATGCTTGGTTGCACCACCTTCTCAATACCCTTCATGTCAATAGGGCTTTGGTAATGGTAGCTCCTAAAATGAAATATACTAGCAAAAGTGAAGTGATCACTAACCCTAGTACTCTTAGATGATGACTTGGTATTGTCTGTTGGCCTAGCCATGATACTTTGCAAATTCTTGCTTAGCTTGGCTTTCAAGGAAGAGAAGGAAAGCCCAGCACGGCCATCGGATTCAGATGAATCCGATTGAACCGGGTTAGGATTCGTTGTTGCAAAGTTGGTTCGAGCATTTTCTCCACGTAGGGCTCGAGCAGCCTCATCATAGGCTCTAGCGGCCTCTTCAGGGGTATCATAGGTTCCGAGCCATAGTCTTACACGTTGCGATGAGTCCTTGATCTCAGCCACCCATCTCCCCGATGGTCGTTGCCGAACACCAACAAATCTACGAACGGTTGACTTGGTCGGTTGGACCATGTTGGTGGCGGCGGCGGTGGTGACCCTGGTGGTTTTGGTGGTTTTGGTGATTTTAGAACCTGCCATGGACACTAAGGTGGCAAGGAATTTTTTGTTGAGTTGTAATTAAGTATTTCTATGGTTGCATGTGGAGTAACACATAATTATATAGGTGAGATTGTTATGGCACTATCAATAAGGCCATTCCTAAGATGGGGTTAAGGAATAGCATATGCTCTTTCTCAATTATTATTATTGTTATTATTTTTCATATAAAAAATTTGCAAACTCTCTTAGCTTTGTCTTGATTTGCAAAAGCTTGGCTTGGGGAAACTTGAGCTTGAGCTAAGTTCATCCTCTCTCATTCTCTATCTCTATGTCTTATTTAATAAAGGGCAATGGTAGAGGGCCACAATTTTTGTGGCTCAAATGGCTCAAAACTGTCAAAACGACGTCGTTTTGAGCACAAAACATGTCAAAACGACGTCGTTTTGACAGTTTTGAGCCATTTGAGCCACACAAATTGTGGCTCTCAAACATTATTCTTTAATAAATTGATTTTAAAGTGATTAAATTTGAGTATTAAATTCTGAAAATTATATCTATTGAGTAGTGTGAAAGTATTGGATATTAATGTTGAGTAAAAGTATTTTTAAAATTTTCATAAATATGACCTATTCTCCTAATCTATAATACGTATTTGAACAGATTGATTATCGTTATATTTCATATATATATTATCATAGTGAAATTATAGTGAATTACGTAAATCTTATATTCTTATATGTGCATGTGATCTGCAATTATGTTTTATTTGTATCTGGTTTTTTTAATCTTATCATTCCTTTTGAGTGTTACAAATTCTAAGTGTATAATATTGGATTATAGAACCAAATACAACCATCTTACATTGAATGAGACTCATATATATCCATTTCTATGATTAGATTCTACTCCCATTAGAAAAGTATTTTCTAATTTGAGAACAAAATCTAAAATGGTGATCCCACACTTTCAAATCCCTTCTAACACCCTCAATTATTGAAGAATAGGATTAAGGAATGGCCTTAACCATGGTTTGGTATTAGGGTTCCAAATCAACCATATGTCAGCTTGGAAGCCGCAGCTCAACCGAGCTAAGCTGCACATAATTTGTTAATGATAAAATCAGAGAGAAGCCGACAAAAAGAAAGACGGTCTGAATTTGTCGGCTTGTAAATGAAGATTCAATTTGGGACGTTGGATTTCAGAATTTTAAAATCCGGCGGAAAAGGTTAATTTAATACTAATTGTTAACTATGTGCGGTTAAAGTTAAACCATTGGATTTTAGTACTTGGTTGGTGATTGAATGATCAGTGGAGCCACAATCCACTTCCCATGTCCTTTGTGTTGTTTGTATTTCACTACCTAAAATGCCCTCAATCATGAATGATTGATCCAATCAAAAGATGTAATGTGCATACTAAAGTGGGTAAAATTTGCCAGAATAAAAATGAATTCACCTTACAAATTTGACAGTTCTTTTAAAATTTTAATTTATATAATTATTTGTTTCATTTTTATCAATCATCCATTCGTCATATTGATGAAAAAATTATGCTTTCATCTGTTTTACATTAAAACATCTATTTTATCCTTAATTAGGGGTGTGCGTAGTACAGTTCGAGCGATTTGAGAGTAAAATTATAAACTGAATAGTGGATTAACGGATTGACAGATTGACAAATTGGGATTTGAGCGTTTTTGGACGAATTTGCGAATTGAAGAATATTCTAACCAATTATTAAGCATTTGCATAATATATAATACAAATTTACATAATATTTTTCATATATATAACTACTAATTTGTAATAAATTTCACATTTTAAATTTCTCATACTCATTTTTACTTTGATATATTTCATTATAGATTAAAAAATATATATGTATTAACTATAGTGGAGCGGAGCAATTTCGAAAGCAAATTATAAATTTTAAAGTTTAAACCGTGGTTAACGAATGGAGCAAATTGAAGTGAATTGGAGCGATTTTAGCGGATTTGGTAATATTTTGCACATACACACCATTTGCATTAGGAGCTCATATTTGCTAAAGTGAAAGTTCTCAACTTCATTGGTGAAGAAGTTGGTGCATTATGAAACCAATTTGTATCTACATCAGTGATCTAAACCGTTCAACTTATAAGACAAGTTAAGAAAAATATGCATGTAAAAAATTAGACTGATCAGACATAAGTGATCGCATGATCAAATAATATATATATTATAATAAATAGATAATTTATTCCTAAAAACATGTATGTGTATAGATAAAAATAATATAATATTATAGCAATTGATATTGAATCAAGTTGATTTTTTGCATAGATAATTTTCTCAATTAGTTGTATGAGATGATTAGTTTAGATCACTAAAATAGGCCTAAATTACTCCAATAATGGATCAACTTTACCATGAATTTGAGATTTTCAACTTTAGCAAATTTGGATTCCTACATTAGATCCAGCCATTTTAACTTCACTAAAAAAAACATTAATGTCATTATGCCAAACTTCTAAAACTTACTATATTTTTACCAAATCAGTATAACATACCTAATTTAAAATATGTAGATTAAATTTATTCTAAATTTAAGTGCATCACAACAAGAATGAATTTGAATTCAATATTGGTCCATGATTATAAGTTGGTTTAATCACACATTAGAGGGTTATTTAGGATATTAAATTCATCTTATTATCGGATGCAATGCGCTTGGATTAACACTTAATTTTTCAGGTGCTACCTTTAATTCCCTACATTTTTATTATCCTAATTAATGATGGAAACGAGAGATTTTGTTGCCTAGCAATGTGTATTTTAAGGTTTATTACACGCGGAATGACAGATGGCACATGTCAAGTGACTTGATTTGGTCATTAACTAATGCTTGTTAATTTAATTTTATTTTTTACAATTGAAATATGCATTCATGTTCACACACTAGAAAATAATCCAAGAAAAATGCTTGTGATGATTCAATCAATGGAACAATTCATCGTTACTGTAATCATCACTAAACTATTCTTTTCTTCTACTTCTTTTTTGTGTGTGTGGCTACATACTAAAATTCTTTGAGCGATTAATCTCTAACCATGTAAAAATAATTTATATTATCTAACCTCGGGTAGGGAAGGGAATGAGGATTTAACCCTAATTAGATGAACATCCTTACAGGTAGGAGTGTTCGTGGTGTGATTGCAGTCGAGAAACCTTCAATCCGCCATCTATCAGCCGAATTGGCGGATTGAAAAAAATAATCCACAATCGTTCGTTAAATTGGCGGATATACATTGACAGATAGATGCGAATCGGTTTGGCAGTTTAAACTTTTATAAATTTTGAATATAATACAACAGCTTGTCAATTTTTTTTTTTTTAGATAACAATCTAATTCAACATAACCAAAAGATTATCAAATAAATTGTCAAATACTAATAATAAATACATATAAGAAAACTATGCACTATCAAAACTATTTCGTTACTTTTTTTTTTTAATTCAAAAACTATTTAATTTGATTTTTTTAAAAAATAACAAAATTAAGCCTTATGTTTTTCACACAAAAATACCAAATATCAACACTTGTCATTTGATTGAAGGATTTCCAAATTAAAAATAAATTCAAACACAACAAAATATCTAAAGTTTTTTTCAATTAAAAACACAAATAGAATATCTAAACAAATTGAAAAAACAAAATCTTACAAATTATTAGGAGTGCTCGTGGTTTGGCGGTTCAGTTATAGTAAAAGGAATCTCAAATCCGTCATCCGTTCAAAACTAGGCGAATTGGAAAAAATCAATCTACAACCGTCCGCTCGTCATAACGCATCTGTTCAAAATGAGGTGGATCGGTTTGATTCGGTTAGTTTGAGCGGATCGAAATATCCGCTGCACCCCTACTTACAAGTTATTAACCACTGAGAGTTCGTTTGAAATGTAGGTTGACTTTTTGACTATTTTAGTCTGTGGCTAAAAAGTCTCGTTTGGAATAAATTTTTTGAATTTTGTGAGAGAAAAAATAAAATGATTATGGATTGAATGTGACATTTTGTCCTATTTGGCTAAAAATAGTCTATTTTGTCTTATATGACTATTTTAACCCAAATATTCTTCCCAAACAAGCTCTAAACTATTCAGAAAAGATAGAAATAAAAATAAAAAATTACCCAAAATATAGATTGATGGTCTGAACTCAATACTAGAAATAAATCTCATCCTAAAGTTGTTTTTGAGTTTTTTTTTTTGTTTTTGGAATAAATTTTCTAAATTCCTAACATTGCTGGAGAACTACATGACTTGCTCAATCATTGTGGTGGTTAAAAGTTCCAAAAAGAATCACAACCATTCAAAATAGTATGCAAGGGGGGCATGCGTAGAATGAGGCAACAACCTTCGCCAATTCCATATTTTAGGTTAATTTTTTAACATTTGCAACCATTTTGCATTTTTGTCTGTAAATAAGTGTTGTTTAGCACATGATATCTTTCATACTTTCGATGATATCATTGTTAAAAAAGAAATTGACTTAATCACTGTCCTCATCACAAACCAGTGGTTAAAAATAGCAAATTGTGTGCCCTTGCTGGTTAACAGTTTGGCATATCAATAAAGTGTCCTATGTGCCTCTTTTGTTTTGTTTTGTTTTTTTTTTTTTGGAATTAGATTAAAGAATGCCCTGAAGTGTTATCACTGCATTCATAGGCTCAGGTTCCAGAATAATCAGTTGCCGGCCTAATTTAACCCAACCTAAATAAAAGAATCCACCACCGAGACACCAATGGAGCTCAACCACACGTTACAGACAAGTCCAGATTTCGAGAGAAGTATAGGCGAGGTCTCCAAAGAGAGCCAACTGTAAAGCAGCAAAATTTGTCCCTCCCAAGAATCGAACCTGGGTCATACTTGTGGAGAGAAATGCCTTCTCTATTAGACCACCACCCCCAGTGGTAAGTGTCCCATGTGCTTGCTCTGGATTTTTTTGACATTTTGTAACCCCAACAGTTAGCTAGCATTTGTCAGGGTACCCTAATTCTCATGACCTAATCTTACACCAAAGATTAGAAGATGTTTCCATATGTGACATATAAGCCTATTTTGTATCATTTTTGTTTCTTATTTTTCATTTTTATTTTTTGGAATATATATATGTATATATAATAAATTTGTATGGAAAACTTATTCAAAAACTATTTTAGGAATTTTTTTTCAAAAAGACCCCCTTTTTAACATGTAGTTTACTGACATTATCAGTTTTTTATTTTCTGTATGTATATAATACAGGAAAGAAGTTCCGTCTTTTTTATTATTCTTCTATATTTTAAACATGCTTGTTAGTAGCCTGTGGTGCTGGCTAGCAGTGAAGGGTGGCCGCTGAAGTTGATGGTTGAAGTGTCACTGGAGATCAAAGGGTGGCGGCCAAAGGCTGGTCAAATAACATGATCAGAGGGTAGTCAGACATCAATCTGCGAGAGGTGGTGAATTGAATTGTAGTAGTGGCCAGTGTTGGGTAGTGACTGATGGTGGTTGAAGAGGGAGAAAGGCAAAACTTGTTTTGAAAACAAAATAAAACATCTTTTTCATTTTCAAAAAATTTGAAAAGTTTGGAATCAATTCCGCTTTAATGAAAGAAAAACAAAAATACACTAAACGAGTTTCCACTTTCAGTTTTCAAAAAAAAATAGTATATATACATATATATTAACAGAAAACAGAAAATGAAAGTGTTTACAAAGAAAACCCAAAAAGTTATTTTGAATTTCTGAAAATTACTTTTCGCAGAAAAAATAAAAGCAAAATGAAAATTATGGTTGTTTTTGAATTTTTCATGTCTTTAATTCCATAAATAAAACAATACCAAACATGCCAGAATTTCACACCATGGTCATTATACACATATATGATAATCCTACATAATTTCTCCTTGATGTTCTAATTAGATGGAAAGAGCGACCTGAAAGTGAATGGTGTACACTGTGTGTCACATTCCCATCAAACTCAAAGAGTGTCTTTTTGTGCTCTCCAGGGGTCCTGCTCTAATCTTCTATTGCTCATTAGAAGCCTGTAAAATGAATTTTTAACCAAAAGGGGTATCAAAATTAATGGGCAAAATGCATAATAGAAGATGACAAGAACAGTTCCAAATTAATAAAGTCTTTGCATAACATGAAATAAAATGATTGAGACAAGCAAATTCAATTTTCCAACTTTACTGTGCCTTAATACCACAAAAACCGCGAATTCTTTTGATATCGATATTTTCAGTCTATTAAATAGGTAGGTACTAATATTACAAGAAAACACTACTACCTTAGCGATTTATGCTTCGGAAAGCACATTTCGAAATGTGGTATACTTTTGTTCCGAAATTGTGAATTTTACAATCCAAAGCGATCCCAAAAAGACTAGAACATGTTTCTATTAATGTATTAGGTATTGTTTTCGTTTTCTGCTTTCTGTATTCAATTTTTGAAAAAACATAAATAAACAATAAAAAAAATTTTGTTTGGCAAACTGATTCAGAAAACTAATTTCGGTAAAGTTTTCTTAAAACAACTCACTTTTTAAGAAACAGAGCCTGGGTGCTTTCAAATTTTTCATTGGTTTTGTTTTCTGAAAAAAAATATAAAAAAACAGGCCCGAATTTCACATAATTTGTCCCTCTTATTCTAATTAGATGGAAACTACTTTAAGTGACCTGAAAGTGAAGGGTGTACACTGTGTGTCACATTCCCATCAAACTCAAAGAGTGTCTGTTGGCCTGCTCTCAATCTTCTGTTGCTCTCTAGAAGCCTGTTAAATGAAATTTTAACCAAAAAGAGTATCAAAATGAGTGGGCAAAATACATAATAAAAGATGACAAGAGAAGTTCCAAATAAACAATGCATTTAGATACCATGAAATACAATGATGGACCAATTTAGTTATTAGAAAATAGAGAGTGGTTGTTGGAGCTTTGAGGATGAAAATTTCAACTTTACCATGTCTTTAATACAACAAAGACCATGAATTCTATTGATATCAATCCTTTCAGTCTATATGTTGAGCAGAAATCAACTGATTCCAATAAAAAAAATATTAAAAAAAAAAAAAAAAAAAAGAGTAAAGAGAAACAATCAAACACACAAAACACAAAATATAAATGGTTTGGCTATGTGCTTATGTCCATAGAGAAAGGATTACAGAACTCTGAATCTCTCAGCTCAACCACTCCACAATGCTGACACAATCTCTCACTGATACCCTAGCTGAAAAATACAATAATTACTTCCAAACTTTGGCCTAAAGGTCCCTTACAAGTTACAGTAAATCTGAGTGAACAATAAAAATACAAGACTTGACAGCACTATAAAATAGGTAGGTACCAACTCACCCATCATCTTAAGATGCAATTTAAGTTCATTTCACTGTGAGCTATTTCCTATTTTCACTGCACAAATTGTAAGCAAAAGCTACAGTAAACAACCTAGCATGGAATTAGAAGATTTCCTATGAAATTGGATCAAATGATTATTCTGCAAAGTAGCATCCAAATACACAGCAAAGAATTCTGAATTTGTCCAATTCCAATTTGCCCTAAATGTAGAAGACAGTCCACCAACCATAGAGCAACATTAAGTGCAGAGTTATGAATATTTTTTTGTGATGCCGCATATTCAAAGTTGTCCTCATTGTAGGTAGAATGAAACAAATAGTATAATATAATGAAATGCCAAATGAAGTACTAATCAAAGCATTTATCACAGCAATGCAACAGTGAAGGATCATTGTCATATGGTAGTTGGAGACATGCCCAATGCAACTACTATCATAGTAGTTAATTGTAGTCTAAGAAGCACGGACATGAATATGATATAGTACAAATACGGCAATACAACAAAACCTAAGAAACTTGAATATGGTTCTACATGTATATGCTTGTACAAAATTTATTTATATAATTTTTAATAATATAGAATGCATAAAAATAAAACCAAAGGCAAAAATACATTCATAAAAGATCAAGTACTAAATTCCTTAACATCAAACATGGTTTGAAGTAAACAGTTGTCCACTGATCAAAAAAAAGTAAACAGCTATCTAATCATTACAAACTACTCAGTATATCTGTATTATTATTGATGGATTGTTTGATATCTTACAAGATTGTTAATATTCTGTATATTACAATTCCTATATATAGAGGAGAAGATGGTAGTAGAGTGTGTGATAGTGGAGGTGGATGGTAGTGGAGTGTGTGATAGTGGAGGTGGATGGTAGTGGAGTGTGTGATAGTGGAGGTGGTGGGTGTGGAGAAAGATAGTGGAGGTAGTAGGTGAGTGGTAAATTCTAACAGTTCATCATGGCTTACCCAGTCATCCCAGCAAGAGAGAGAGAGAGAGATTCTTCACCAATTGTCACTAAGGATCTTTTCACAGAAAAACAAACAAATCTGTCTGGACTTGCAAGTTGCAACAAAAGAAATAAATAATTTATACAAAAACATAAACAAATAAGTCATAACGCTCATATTTCAGTCAAACAACGAGCTTCTTTTATCTGTGAATCTATAGTCAATGACACAGTGTTGTATACCAATCTTTATCACACCAATCAACACTATCAAAAAATGGTATGTGGCAACTTAAGGTGTTCAAAGTTCTGATTAAATTGAACTTGTCTCTCTACAGCATTTGAGAATATGATTTTTAAGTACGTTGTGGTTCTTTATGATTTATACGGCATCAGAACTAAGTTCTTCAGAATTCTACTGTTATTTCAGGAATTCAAGAAATCACACCAAACACATTCTTCAATTTAACATTTTCCTGCAGAGGCATCTGAAAGTGCAATTCATATCATTTTCCTGATTGCTTCAATAGTCTCTTCTCAAAGTCTTTCAAAAGTACCCTCGGAAAAATCAAGCTACTTGAGATATGCCTGATCAGAGGCTTATTTCAGATTGCCCATAAATTGTAAAACAAACCAAGCACAATCCTAGTTTTGAGCTCATTAATGTTCTAAATTGAGCTCAAACTCAATCAGCCAGCTCATAAGCAGCTTAAGCTTGCAACATGAAGCTTGTTCCAGATCAGTAACAACATAAATGTGTTGAACCCAATCCCTACCTTAAAACTTGCCTTTTCTATTAACCTTGATTAGGCAGCCAAGCACTTGACATTGCCCAGCTCGTATATAAGCATAAGTGAATTGGCTATCCGGCTTATCTTTCCCATTTGAACTGTAACACAATTGTGCATTTCCAGGAACTAGTACTATATTTCTTAGGCAGACTGGGGACAATATCAAGAGGAAATTGAAAATAAACAGCATAGTGATTTGCATTGGCAGTGCAGGAAGACTTGGACCAACAAATGAAGATTCCAGTACAATGAATAATCAATCAGCATTACACACACAGTGAGGCAACATTGAGTTGAAGCCTTAGCAAGATCTATCACAATCCAACAAAACTCAATTTTCTTTTGGTGGGAAGATGACTAAAAATCAGCGCGATACCAAAGTTATATTTAGAGCTATGCTTGAGTTAACCAATTAATTTTATTTTTGGTGATTTTTATTTTATTTTTTTTAAATAATTTGATTTCCTATTTTAGTTTTTTAACATGATCGTCATCATAATTTAAAATGCAATCACGTGCCATAAAAGATGAAAACGGAATTATATCAAGATGCACACACACGCACACACACAAAATGAGAAAGAGAGCGGTAGAGAAAGAAAAGAGAGAGGAGAGAAATAATATAATATTTGTAAGAGAAGATTTTAGCAAAATTAAACATTTAAAGTGACAAATTGCAAGGATTTTGTTGAAAAGAAGTAAAGAAGAGAGGCGGTGGAACTTCAATGGAACAAATTGAAAACATTTTTTAACTAGAGTTAAAACTGTGATTTTCAAAAATGGCACATCCCCTCCTGGTCTAACATGGCTCCACCACTGATCACAAGTATTTAGGATGACTGCAACCCCACAACAATTAGAAAGTCAACATTCACAGGGCTATCTATGTTAAATTTGATGTATGGAAAAATAGAGAGAATGAAATATGTATTGATGATTGATATTATTGATTGATGTATTGATTTCTATTACAATGATTCATGATTCCTATATATAGAAGAGGGTGAGTGTGTAGTAGGTGAGGAGTAGGTGAGGAGTAGGTGGAGAGTAGGTGAAGTGGGTGGAGTAGGTGTAGTGGTAGGTTTTGGTACATTTTAACAGCCCTCCGCAAACTCAAGGGGGATAAGAACTAACCAACTTGAGTTTGGAGAGACTAACAAAACAAGAAAATACATAAAAATAAAAGAGGATAGGAGACACTGTATGGTCGTGTCAGACCATTGGTGAAGACACTGGATGGTGGTGTCATAAAGTTGTAGAGGACACTGTATGGTGGTGTCATAACGTTATAGACGACACTGTATGGGGGTGTCATAACGTTGTAGAGGACACTGTATGGTGGTGTCATAACGATGTAGAGGACACTGGATGGCGGTGTCAGACCGATGTAGAAGACAGTTTATGGGGTCATGTCGGACCGTTGTAGCAGACAATGTTGTGACAGTTGTTGTGACAGTTTACGGAGTCTTGCTGGACCCTTGTAGAAACTAACCGGAATCTATGTCGGGACAGTTTACAGAGTCTTGTCGGACCCTTAAAAAGTCGCACCCTCAAAAGGTGTGCCTAATTTTTCAAAAAGGCGTGCCATCAAAAGGCGTGCCCATTCCATAAAAAGGCGTGCCAGATATGATGGCGAGGCACGTGAGTGCCTTGGCTGGCGCGCCCGTTTGTCGTCTGGCGTCAAGTGGCGCGCGATACGCGTGGCTGCCTCGGCTATTTAACCAAGACGGAGGCTAAGGCTGAGGCAGAAGCTGAGACAGAAAAACTGAGAGAAACCTCATTTAATTAGTTTTTTTTTTTTTTTTTTGATCAACTTGTCATTCAATTAGTTAAATTTAATTTGATTCATATACCTATTTATTATATTTATCCACTTCAATTTAAGTCTCTTTCTCTTAATACTTTTGTACAGGGTGAAATATCTTCAGTTCTTCGTACTCCTTGAATCTAAGCTTCACGTAAGGTCGCTTGATCTGAAAGCAGAAAGATAGTGAGTTGTCCGACAGTGTGCTGCCAGATAAACACTCCGACAATCAAGTCAGCACACTTAGAGAAGGAGAAGAGGAAGAAGAATGGGAATAAAGCACTTTAGAGAGACAGAGAGAGAGTTGTGAATTCATTCAGGTTGCTTACCTTTAACGTTCCCTCCATTCCTCATTTTTTAAGCATTCCTTATTTTTTAGGCTGGCTACGCAGCCTCAGAGATTGTGGGCACACTATCTCTGCTGTCCTTCCCTAGACAGGCGGTTGTGCTCCCCTCTACCTTCCTTACACGTGTAAAGACCAAAACCATCAAACAGTGTTTATTGAACCGCCAAACGGTATTGACGCATACGAGGAGTGGATTTTTCCTTCTTCATATCATTGGTCCAGGTGGCTCACACAACCGGGCTATCACGACCGACCTATCACTTGGAGAGAAACACCACAATGAATGGGATGCCCGAATTATAATAAATCGATCCATCTGAACTAACCGGTCGTAAGGCGTGCGGTTTGACATCTCGGTCTCGCCCCGCTACCTTATAAAACATCTCGGCCCAGATTCAATCTGGACTGTCCGTGGCTCAGCCCAACGCATCACTGCGGATCTAACCGAATATCAGGCTGAATCATAGCTCGGTTGAGCACCTGCATGTCTCCGCATTTTGGTCGACGATCTGCTCGGCCCAACGTAATGAGCCGGGGAGTCGCATTGGTTCAGTTAAGTCAGACACAGGGTCTGGCCCTCGCAAGGCCCAACACCATACCCCACGCTACCATAGCTCGACCCTATTGTTCGGCGCAAATCCCCCTCTCAATTGCCCCTTAATCCCATCCGAACTGAGCGTGATTGGGATTATTATTCTGACCGAGCTACCTGATTTGGTCGGTCATTGAGGATTGCGCCAGTTGTCTTGTCATCGATCATTCAGCCGTACTAACAAACCATTTTTTCGATGCCACGTGGGTTTACCCCATTGGTTCCGTGCAACCCCACAACTGTCTTCATCACGCACAAAATTCAAAAGGTTGTCGCCCTTTGGTTTCCCCCCATTTTTTATACATATGTGAGGGGCCAAACATGCCACCACTATTCATTTTCTCTATTAAGCCAAACCCTAGCCTCCTCAGAGCCCTTTCCGTCACTACTGTCGCTGTCGCTTCCGTTCATGTCATTCCCAATGTTTTTCATCGCCTAGGACATCGCACTAGTGGTTTGCATCTCAACTTATCTTCCAAGTGTGTAAGCTCCTCTTGCTTCAAACTCCCCTTTCATTGTTGTTCTTCGTGTTTCTGTCTGAGACTGTTGATACCCTGCCAGTGCCTTTTCTTTGGGGTAAAACTGGTAGGGAAGTAGACATTAGGCAGAACTGGAATCGAAGAGATGGATGGGGCCACTGTGCCCCTCGTTTCCCCTAATTTCAATGCATAAACTTCATATTTAGGATAAATAGCATAAACCCTGGATAAGACCAAGAAAAATCCCATTTTTAGATCCAAAAAGAGGATTTAGCCGAGCAAAAATTGGCTTGTGGTCCTCCCTTGAGGCTGAGACTAAGCTGTAAGTTGTAGGGGAGCTAGAACCGAGCTAGAAAGATAGAACTGACGTAGATAGTTGAACCAAGATCGGAAAATCGAACCGGTCAAATGCCCCATGATCCTTTACCAAGCTAAACACTTCCTTATAAAAGCCGTGCAAATTATGCCATGCTAATACTTGGACTTATTTTTTAATAATGCAGAACAAACTAGGACCGACCAGGCCCACTCAGTATTACTATAGATGAGGCTCAAAGTCCGAGCAAACAATCACCAAATTTTGACCGAGCTACTACAAAAATTAACCAACTAAATAAAACCGGAATAGATGGGAAAATACCGTTTTATGGTCAGCTCTCCTAGGGCAATGAATAAATTTCGTAAAGAGTTCAACATCCCAGACGATGTCCACTTGGAGCTGGCCAAGAAAGAAGACACCTCCTGGGGTGAGCTGGACAAATGCCCCTTCACGGTCGTGTGGAAGGCGGCTTACGCTTCATAGCTCAACCCCTGATCTGTGAGTTTTTGAGACAGCCTAGGTTGTGTCCCACCCAATTTTCAAACAACACGTACAAAATAATAAATGGAGTGGCCGCGCTGAACCGAATGCTGGGCTTAAATCTCGGCCTTGTCGAGATATTCCACCAATATACCCTTAGTAAAAATAAAAGCAGCTTCTGCTAGTACCTCAAGGTCAGAAAAGGCTGAGCAAAGCTCATTGAGGGTAATCCAGACAAAGAGGTGAATAATGACGATTTCCTATGGGTGTCTGGGAATTACGAAGACACTGAAGCGCCCATACCGGGCTGGTACATTCATAAAAATTTTGGGAGTGCTGGTGAGCATCATAGCACGGTTTAACTCTTTGGATTCGATTTGTTCTACCCGACCTAACACTTGATTTTATTTTTGTAGATTACAAATTTTTGGCGGACGATTATTCTAACGCCAACCAGAAGGCTATAAGGGTTGCTCTTCGGCACCAGGCGAAAGAAAGAGAAGCCTAGAAACTGCTCGGATTCGAACCGAGCTACCGATATACTGTACCGCGCAAGAGCCGGGTCACCGATTTTCTTTGCACTCCTTCTCCAGAGCCAGAGCCAGATCCCACTCTCCCACTGATCAAGCTCGTTCCCCTTACAGCCGAACAAAAGATGACAAAAATTCGCGCTATCAAATTGATGATTACGGGCGAACCGAGCGACTCCCAACCTGCGGAAGCTACAGGGGGCCAATCTTCTGTGCTAAACGTACCAGAAAAGAGACCAGCGCTAGCTCTTGCGCAGTGAGTGAGCTACTGGCCGGTCCAAGAAGAGACCTAGGTCGGCACAGACCGAGCAAAATCTAGTCAATGAGGATTCAACCGAGCTGTCGTCGTCTGATCAGGGAGACTAGATTGAATCTCTTGCCGGGCAATCCATCTGATCAACCGTCCCCCCAGTCTAGTCGCTTGAGCTGACGTACAAAGGCCGAGCAGTGTCGGTGGTTGATTTAGTTTACGCCGACAAGGACTATTCGCTTGGCTTTAACATGACCAAGGGCTTACTACTCCCTTAGGACATGAAGAAGCACGATGAACTGTTCGATCTAAAAGTTCTCCGCTTGGCGGCAAAGTCGATCTTGCTGGTAAGTAGTCAAGTCTCTATTTGTGTTGTTTTTCTGCAAGTTATTGATCAGCCCCCAGTACTGACTGCTTTCCATCGGCAGGCCACACAGAGGAACTATCTCGCTCATGAGTGAATGATTCCTGTTCGGAAAAGTCTGCGCGAGGCCATTGCAGACAACAAAACAAAAACGGCTGAGCTAGAAAAGTTAAAGACGGCTCAAGAAGAGACAGTAACCGAGCGTGACCGGCTCGCTGAACTGTTGGCTAGGGCGGACGAGGATAAGCAAAATGCCCTCCAAGTGACTAAGGCCAGATACATCGTTGAGCTACGTAAACTCCGTGAAGCCCAGAAGGCTGAGATGGATAAGTAGATTGACGATGCAGAAAATCGCGGCTATGCGAAGGGCGAAAAAGCTTATGAACGGCAGGTACAGGAGACGAAGGACATTTTTTTCCAGTGCGGTTGGAAAGTAGCCGTGGAAAAACTTGGCCTGGGTCAAGACTCTAACCTGTTCCAAAATCCCCTTGCTGCCTTCATTTCGGGTCACATGCAAGCTTACGCCAGCGCTACGCAGAAGAAGCTGATTGAATAGGCGAAGCTAGCAGCTACGACGGAAGCTTCCATTGTGCAACCAACCGAGCAAAATCCTCCTTCTGAGGTGTCCAAGGAAGGGGCCCAATAGACCGAGGAGCCTGAACAAGAGGTGGACGCAGTGGTCGGCACCCAAGTGGAAGATACCGAGATGGGGGCGACCGACCAAGCGAACACCGTTGACCTTGATTGAACTTTCTCTTCTTCTTTTTTTTTCCCTTTTTTTTACTATTTGGTTTTGATGTAACTGGGCTATGCCCACTTTTGTAATCACACTTTATGATGAATGAAAAGTTTAA